AAGTATTGACCTAAACCATATTTGAAGAAAAACGTAAGAGAAAGGGGTCCTTTTAATTAGGAGGCACTAGAAACTATTGCCAAGGAAGAATGGAGCAAAATACCAATCAGTGTGCGTGTTGTGATCTTGTAAGGAACTATCCAAAATGGTTAAAGTCAATAATTAAGAATAACGTTTCATTGATTATTGAGGCAAGAGGGCCAGTAATGTTGTCCTATGTTGATTGTTTCTTTTGTTATTTGTTTACAGTATTGTTTGACATTAAAATAATAAGCAAATGTGGTGGGTATCATTGCACATTTGTTTCCATTCCATTATTTCATCATTTATGATAAGATGCACGTAAAGTTTCCCTAAAAATTTGAGATATTACAAATTTCTTTGTAATTATGCAAAGTGGTGGAATGATAATTCTGTCCACAACTATATATATATATATATATATATATATATATATATATATATATATATATATATATATATATCATATTAGTGGTCAATATATATATATATATATATATATATATATATATATATATATATATATGTATATAAATAAAAAGAAAAGAACAGTAAGATATATAATCTGGTGTTTTCTTATATATTTTTGCTTGAGGATGAAATGGAACTAATGTCTTTTAATTTAATTACAAAATTAAATTCGAGGCTTTTAGCTTCCATTTTGAAACATGGTTGTAGAAAAAAAAAATATTTTAAATCAATTAATTTATAATATATATATATATATATATATATATATATATATATATATATATATATATATGGCTCCTGAAATATCAATTTAGTTGAGCTCTCTGAGGGACGAGGTGGGTTGATAAACAGTGACTATTATAGCTATATAGCGAGACTCTTCGCAGATGCGAATTGAGTCACTGTCGGTCACTGGGCGTGTTTCTAAAATAAATACGCTAAAAATCCACTTTCTCTACCGTGCGCCGACGGCTTAATGGTTAGAATCTCCGACTGACACCAATTCTGTCGGGTTTCGATCATAGCTAGAGGCAACCGGATGTCTGGCCACAATGATGATCTGTGAAATGTGGATGACGTTATATATATATATATTTATATATATATATATATATATATATAACTACACATGTCTCGGAAAACCTCGGATTCTTGGTTTACTAATGATCAAATCAATTTTGAAGGAAAAAAAGGTTTGCAAAAAAGAAAAACATGAACGTCTGGCGAAAATAATCATACAGCATACAAGTCCAAAGCTCAAAGAAAAAAAAAACCCGATGCAAATAATTAACTAACTAAAAAAGTGCTCAGTACAAATGTAGAGCAGACCTAGTCCAACCTAAAGAGCCAGACAAACCTACCAGGGTTTCACCTAAGCAGATCATCAGGGAAAGCTGGCTAGATTTGATCATATATATATATACGCACACATTAAAAACGGCTGACAAGATACTACATTTAAGTATTTTATTTAAATTTTTTTTGTGTTCTTATATTTTTTTCTTTTTTTGCATGGTTGGTGAGATATTATTTTCGTACTGATGCCAATCGCCAATCTTTTAGTTCGAATGGGAGCGCTGTCATCTATTGCAAATTTCCATTTCATATTTACGATTACCTTAATAATGCACAAATCAAAATGAGATGAAATTCACAGTCGTTTCCCAAGTTAATAGAAATTCTAGTTTTCATTCGAGCTAAAAGATTGGCAACTGGCATTAGTTGGGAAATACCGAACTATCTCACCAACCAAGGAGATATCTAGAAAAGGAAAATATATATATATATATATATATATATATATATATATATATATATATATATATATATATATATATAGCATAATGAGAAGCCACGTATACTTTCTTAATATGTATATATAGAAAGTTTCAAATTGAAAATTATAATGTTTTATTTTATGAAAGTATTTATTTATTTATATATATATTTGATATTTCAAATTGTCCTCAATTTTTCATCAGAAATAACGGTTTGTTACAAATAAATTAAAATTACTGTTTGTTAGCAAGTAGCGTCCTTCGCGAGACGCGGACGTCACGTGATATGGAACGTCACTGTTCGGATATTCCTAACTTAAATCTAACTGTCATAAATATTTAAAACAATTTTTATTGTATTAAAAAAAAAAAATTCAGAACTATTGAAGATGATAAAGATTTAAAACACCTAAGTCCCTATTCAACCCTTAGGTGTTTTAAATCTTTATAAATATTTCAATAGTTAAGCAATTTTTTTTTTTTTTTGTCACTAATATTCCGTGTACAAAAGTAGCAAATTTGAATTTACGTGAAGGTCAAAATAATACGGCTTGTTCCAGGCAAAACCAAGCCGAATAAATAAGTTCTATGAATCGTATAAACAACTTGGAATGACTCGCACAAATGACTAATTTAGTCGAATGCTGAGTACCAGATAATGTAAGTGTCGATGGTGTTGAAACCCTAGCCTATTTCGATAATCCACTTGCAAACTACTTCTCTCCACTGTGCGGCAATGAGGAGTGAGATGTAACGCAAAATGTTGGCCACTTACATTGGGTATGCACGGGAGTGGAAATATTACAAACACGCGGAATGAGAGGCGTAAATAGCACATGGCGGTTTTCAAAGATTCTCTTGAATCTTTCAAGGTTCGTGCTCGATGATACATGGTAGATACAAAAGTTTCCAACTCCATCTTTAGCGCAACCTTAGAGAAATATTACACGTGTATTTGACGTCTACATAGCCAGTAATTACTTGCGCTGTTAGTCAAGGTTTTAAATATCATTTTCATGCCTTAGGAGAAATTCTAAAGGCAGGTGAACAGGTTCCGCATGAAATTGCCTAAAGAAATATTGATCTGCTTTTAAAAAATTCAATTCTCTTCACAGAAAAAGTAAATCCTCTTTTTTTATGGATAAAATTGAAACGAGCAACGAAAAGATTAGGACGTAGAATGTCGTTTTTGACGTTCAACTTGACGTCAAAAACGACATTATTTTTGCACCAACCTAATAGATTTATTAAGCGGACTAAGAACGTAAAAGAAAATCGTAGCTAAATTGAAGACATCTTCTAATATATCAAACAAAATTTAATATACTAGTCTCTGAATGGAGAAAGTCTTAAGATCTACAGAGCTTTTCCGAACTGAAGGCACACAGTAAATCAGCGTGGCATCATATCTTCAGTATAGTTAATCATTTCAAAGCATGCTCATCTATTCAGGTGTATTTATGTTTCTCACAACATCCTGCTAAAGCTAATATGAAACTGTTGTGAGCGGACATTAATTACAGTTGAAATATGTACTTTACCAGGGCCACATACGGTTTTAAATTCAGAGTTGTCTTTCTGCTACACTTGTTTTCAACAAAGGTTATATAGTTGAATCTGGTCTAGGCAAAAAGAGATGGATTCAAAGATTTCCCAAGGCTGTTTTTTTCGAAAAGTGAATGTAACGAATGTAACGCTTGTACCAACTGGATATCTAATATTTTAAAGTTGTTTAAAAAAAATAAACACAAATGAAACAAAAGTAATATTCAATTGTAATATCTCGCAAAATAATAAAAAAAAGTTAGCATTGAAGATGAAGAACTGGAAAAAGTCCAGGAATATAACCATTTAGAACAAGTGATAATATTGATGAAATGCGACCAAAATGAAATAAAATGGCGTATAATGATTGATTTGAAAGCATTTAATAAAAACAGGGAGACAATGAGGAGTAATTTGCCAATTTCAGCAAAGCGTTAAGTGCATAATGAATATAATTTTTTTTTAAGCGTTTCACCCCAAGCAAGGCGGGAATCCACAAGGACGCAAGGGCTTACAGAAAATTTAGAGCAAGATCAGATCAGATCAGTGATAGAAGAAAGGATGACGAGAAGGGTAGTGGATAGATCAAGGCAACTGGAGATGTCGATTGACATTACATTTGAATAGCTGGAGATTATAGCTCTCAGGGAAACTGGAATAGGGAAGGGAGTTCCGCAGGCTAGAGGTGCGAGACATGAAACTATTGAAGTAGAAAAGACGGCTACATTTAGGAGTTTCGACAGTGAAGGGGTGAGAGCGGGATGCCAGCCTCGTAAGGCGCTTGAACTCATGAAGTCTGGGAACCAGCGAATGCAGCTCCTCGGAGCAATTGCCATGAAAGTATTTGTAAAACAGACAGGGAGAGAGAGAGGCGACGGCGCGTCTGTGAGAGAGCGACTGCAGACGAGATGCCAGAGCAGGGCCAATTATATTGCATATCCGCCTCTGGAGCCTATCAAGAACCCTGAGGCAAACAGAAGGGGCTCCAGGCCAGATATGGCAGCAATACTCCATGCAAGGGCGAATTGTTGATTTGTAGATCTGGAGGGTCGATTCCGGGGAGACGCAAAAATAATGGAGTTATTCGAGGCGCACTAAAACGTTTAACAGACGGAGCAAAATGTTGATGTTTAATCGATAGTGTACGCAGTAGAAGATAAGAAATATAGAGGGATCATTTTTAGTAAGATATATCAGAGAATATCACAATAAAGGTTATAGTCGACAAAGAAGAAATTGGGAAGGAAGTGAACTCGCTATTGCTACTGCTGCCTGTTCGGTTACATACCAATATTTATTCTGTGAAGCAGTAACAAATAAGAGAAGAGGTGGAGTGAAAAATTATGTTGCATTATTTCCTTAACAGATCAAGGGAAGACTGTTGTGACAACAGAAACGTGGTTTCCCAGAAGGTCTCTGAGAATTCCATGGATGGAGCATATGAACAATGAGGAAGTTTTAAAGAAAATGGAAGGAAGCAAGGTTAGAATCAAGAATCAAGATATATGAAAAGCAAGAGGGTTATGGGCGGCAGAACGGAGAATGGGGGGGGGTAAAAAGACAAATATTACTAAGAACTGTATGCAATAGGAGATTGTGGAGAGCCATGGTCACTCAGGTCATGAAGAAAACGGAACATAGGAGAAGGAAAAAATATCTCAAAGGAGAAGAATTACCGAATTTGAA